GGTGATTCTTTGGTCATAAGTGACCCTGTAATGCTTTTAAGGGACAGGTATGGTTTTTTGACCTTGTTTTTTAACTTCATGTTAAGTTAAACATTTGTTTGTTGTAATTTTAATCCTGTTAGTATTCTATTCATGTAAAGATCAATCCAAATTATTCAGATCTATTTAAGCTTATTCACAGCACACTTGTCTGCCCTTGTGCTTTCATTTATTCTTGGTTGGCCACATGTTTGCAGAAAGTGTCTTGAGCTGCTGCTTGACTAGTCACAGCCTTGAAGCCAGGGAGGCTTGCAGTATGCTGAGACATGCTTGTATCCAAAAAACCCTGTGAGTTTTTGTCTTGTTTTTGAGTGATTGGCAGTGCACAGGTAATTTTCTGTGTTGGAAGATCTCTGCGCTTTACATGCTGTACAATCATATTTTTAATGTTCCATGAAGGTAAATTTACAAGGGGTTGGTGATGTGTTGCTAATGCCAGTCCCTCTGCTGCAGCTGTATTTGCAGGAAGTATTCTGTGGAAACAAAAGGTATTACCAAATGTATAGAATCATAGAATATGCTGGAAGGGACCCACAGGATCATCAAATCCAACTGCTGGCCCTGCACAGGACACCCCCAAGAGTCACACCCTGTGCCCGAGAGCATTGTCCAAACACCCCTTGAACTTGGGACAGGCTTGGTGCTGTGACCACTTCCCTATTCCAGTGTTTAGCCACCACAGGAGTGAAGGATCTTTTTCCAAGATCCAGTGTAAGCCTCCCAACTCAGCTTTGTGCTGTTTCCTGAATTCTGTCACTGGACAGGAGAGTGAACAGCCACAGCTGGTATGTGTTGACATTGGAGGCTCAGTAACATTCTGTTGATGAGTGTCGTTTGTTTCAGCTCCACCATGGGTTACTTTGGCTATCTGTAAGCAGCGTGACAAATGAGCACACTGGGAAGTTAGATTTTACTGCAGATGTGATGATAAAAGGCTGGTGTTTAGCAATTGGTACAAGGGCTTCAGCAAGAAGTCATCCTGAACAGTGAAATACAATCTATTTAACATATAAATTGAATTGAAAAGTAAGCTGTTTAACATAAAATTAATTTGAGGAATTAGTATAAGCAGAAAAAATAAGTTTAAAGATATTAATGAAATTTAATCCATAGTTCCAATTACTGGGCTAAAGTTAAGAGGTCGGTCCATCATTTTAAGTCTGGCATATGGAAGATGCCTATATAATATTATTCTAACTATAACACACTTTGGATAGTTAAATATCTGGGTATTTGATGGCATGTGACTTCTTTCCTTGAAGCTGCCACTTGTTGTTAGATGAAAGAAATGAAACTGAAATAAAGCTGCCAGCTGATTAGCAGTTCCCTAATTTTTGTCTTTGAATGTGCAGTCTCTTTCATTATTAAATTTAATGCTTGTTGTTTCATGCTGCACGTCTTCACCCAGTTGGAAGCAATTGGCAAATCACCCATCTCTTCATTGTATTTCCTGTGCCTGGCTTGGTTTTGGGAAGGGCTGAGCACCAGCCTGATGCCATGCCACTAGAGCAGCTCAGTAAGGTTTGCTATCTGAATGCTAATCCGGTTTTGTGTACAGTAATTCCATGTTCTGCATGTGCAAGAACGTGCTTTTGAGGCGGTTCAGGCTGGGCTTCTGGCCTCTCCTTACCTAAAGGACAATGAAGATAAATTTTCTTGGCTCTTCTCTGCCTTTTGACTTCTCCGTGGATGAAACCTGGTTTTGTTAGTTGCTTTGTTCACAATTAGTAGGTTTAAGGAATAGCTTTACTGAATAGAGCATTGTTTATATTTAAGTTGTTAATTATAGTGTGAAATGTCTTGCTTCAGTAATTCTTGAGATGGCTTTTTTCCCAAGAAAAGTACTCAGCATAATTTGCAGCAATGCACATTATTTATGTGGTGGGGAACAACAGATGGTGAGGGATTTTTTACACATGGAAAAACTTTACGGTGTGTGTTGCTATGAGAGTTTTGTGGTTCTTGCTCTGTCCAGGAACTGCCAGCCTTGCTGCTATCACTGCAGTGTCCCAAGTACCTTCACATATCCTTGTGTGAGATATGAATTGAGAATCTGCTTAGCAAGCTCTTACACTGAGCTCCTGACAAAGTGGGGCTGCTCTGCTCCCCTCTTGCCATGTAGGCTTTGTCCTTTGCCTTTGAAGTTTTACAGATTTGGGTTGGTTTAGGTTATGCTTTTTCAAAAAGAAATCGTGCTGTATCACATGTATCAGCAAGCAGCTTGGCTCCTGCCATAGCAACAGAATGGCAAGACTTTTTATGAGTTTAGGGATAGAGCAAAGGACAGCAGGGATTATTTTGACATCACGATGCAATCAGCTTAGCATGTACTTAGCATCACAGCTAAGCTATATTAAAAGGTAGTGCCTGAGCTGGTAGTATATCACAGTGATCTTAAATTAAAGAGGGGCCTGGTGGATGATGTGGGTCTTTACCTTGCTGTTACCCCACAGACCCACAAGTATCCAGAGCTGTTGCTGTAGGATTTCAGTTTGGGGTTTTTCCCCCTCTTACCAGAGTCAAAACACTGTGGGTCCAGGTTTGGCCTAGTTACTGTTGACTGGCCTTTTTAAATGGCCACTGAAGACCCAAATGAACTTGTGCTGTCTTTCCAGCCTCAGTCTTGATCACAGAATGATTGACAGAATTGGTGATGCTCCCCTGCTCTCCTTAGAAGGTGATATGCTACCAACAGTGAAAAGGTCTTACAAATGCTCCAACTCATGTTCTACTTGATTATATCTAGGCATATGTGTTGACTTGGATGTAGGAGGAAAGCTCCATTTCCTAGGCTTTTAGCAGAGCCATGGGGCAGGAGCTAATAAGATCTTCTGTAACTTTAGAAGCATGTCACACATAGTTCAGTTTCCTGTTAAGGAGTGCAGTTTTTAAAATATGTGTTGAAAAAGTTGCAATGTAGTGACTTGTTTTGGTTTTTTGTGGATTGGGTTTTTTTTTCTTTTTTGATACTGCTTTCTAGTGCTAGCCTATAAATAGGATTTGGTTTGTGATAGTGCAGGGAGAAAATTTGCTCTTTGTATCCTTAAAAGTGCCTTGTAAGTGTCAAACTGCAAAGGAAATACTTTTGTAGCTGTAAAATGAATTATCAGAATTAGGAAAATTTGTTGTTTTTTGGTTCAGATTTACTTAGCTCTGAGGTGACGACAATATATCAGTAGCAAGATAAAATTCTCATTCCTTTGTAATGAGATTTATCAGTCTGAGGGAGCATAATGGTGTGAGTGACCCCTATAGGTCTCAAGAATGCTGCACTGTCTTAGTTAATTTGAAAATATTTCTTATGTCATTATTCTATGATGTTAAACTGTCTTCTACAGTGACCTAAACAGAATAAAAAATAAAAATTGCTAGAATTAAGAACTAGGAAAAAAACGAACAGAAAACACGACCAAATGAACAATTTATTTGTGCAGAGCTACTAATTCCTGGGCAGAAGGCAAGCCCCTTGTGATTAAAGTCTACTTTCCAAATATTGTAGAAGCTTGGATGACTCACTCTGCTGTACAGGGAGGTAGATGAAACTCAAATATCTGTAAACTACAGTTTGAAGCATCATATGGCTTCTGAAATGTCTTCACTAGATGTTTGCTCCTGGATTTTTGTTTGGGGTTGCATTTTTGGAGACAGGGAAAAAAAATCTAGGTGTTGCTCCACAACCGACAGCCACTTTGTGATTTAGTTTAGTGGGACAGGTACTGAAAAGTTGCTTAAGATGGCATCTTTGGCACTTCTCACTTCTGTCTAGAAGACTGAACAGCAAACCATAACAGAGACCCACTTGTACAAATGCTGTGAAGAATTCATGAAGAATTGGTCAGAATTAGTTTTAGCATTAATTTGTAAAGCTTAAAACAAAGCTTCACACTACCTGTTCACTGGTTTTGAACTAGTTAAAATCCATGGAAAAGGAGTGCATTTAAGGTTATTGAGAAGTGATGTTTAGTTTGTGCACAGTCTGTTCTTTCATCTGGATTAAAGATGCCAAGATAATCCAATTAAGATCATAATCTTGTTTGGATCTCTGATCTTGCATCACAAAAAATGCATCAGTGTTCAAGTGAGCACTAGTACATGAATAAAAGGTTTGGCTAAAGGAGTCTGTGAACACCTCCAATGTTATCTTGAGGTTGAATATGACAGATTGGGATTTCAAAGAGTTGCAGACTGAGGTAGAAGAGAAAATTTGAGAAAAGCATAGTCCTAGAAGCAGGGACAAGCATGCAGGAATGTTTTTCCCTTCACCATGCCTTTGGTCACTCAGAAGCATGCCAGGTAAAAGACATGTTCATGAATTTGTTTATCATGAGCTTGGTATCTATCCACACTGTAACTGGTGGTGTTTTGAATTGTTCCACCTCTAAGTCCAGCCAGGCACTGCCCACTGTTCAAACTACTGATCATTTATCTGCCATCTCGGGGCTAAAGTGAGATGTGCTGATAAGGCACGTGCAGATCCCTCAGTCCATTATGTGAATAAAGAGACCTGTTCCAAGATGTTTGGTGTAGAAGGTTACAGCTGGATATGCCAAGTAGAACTAAAGTCTCAGATTTTTAAAATTAATCTGGAGTTTCTTCCTAGACCAGTCATATACCAAGCTCTGGGAAGGCTTTGGGGATTGATTTGTAGTTTGTGAAGGAGGGAATGAAGGAAGGTTAGAAGGGGGTTTTCCCTTTACCACAAATGTTTGTTTTGTGTTGTTCAGAGAACATTGAAACTGGAAGCTTATGCAAGAAAGTAATTCAAACTGAGAACCTTATGCTTAGGTCTTGTTATACTGTCAAGGAAAAGTAAGGTGTAAAGGACAATCTGAAAGATTCACACATGAGCATAATGCTTCTGCACCCCTGTCACACATGTGGGACTTTGTTCAGCTTTCAGGGACATGTGTTATGGGATAGTCACTTTTTTGAAAATTAATTTTTCTTGGCTTTTTTCCTAGGATCACATGATTCTTTCAGCTACTGGGTTGATGAGAAATCTCCTGTGGGACCAGACCAAGCAAAAGCCATCAAACGTTTGGCCAGAATTTCTTTGGTTAGAAAGATCATGAAGAAATGGTCAGTGACTCAAAATTTGACTTTCAAAGAACAGTTGGAAGGCGGGATCCGCTACTTTGATCTTCGTGTCTCTTCCAAACCTGGGGAAATAGGACAAGAGATTTACTTCATACATGGCTTGTTTGGTATCAAAGTATGGGATGGCCTGAAGGAGATGAATAGTTTTCTTGAGCAGCACCCCAAGGAAGTAATCTTCTTGGATTTCAATCATTTCTATGCCATGGATGACAGCCATCACCACTTCTTGATTAGCAGGATCCGCTCAGCATTTGAATCCAAACTTTGTTGTGTAGAATGTGTAGAATATGTGACATTACTGTACATGTGGAAGAAGAAATACCAGGTAGGGAAAGGATGTTTAATGTTTTTCAAACCCAAAATGTTAAGATTTTAAAGAGATAAGCCTGGTGTAGCTCCCACTCAAAGATATTGGACCAAAGATGCTGCTGATGGTCAAGTTAAAGCCCACTAGGGCCTCCTCTATGTAGTGTGCATGCTTGCCTCCATTTACGTATGGCTATGTATCCCCTCATCCATGGTGTGGCCAGTCTGTCCTGCTCCCAAGCACATTTGTTAAATAATTAAACTACAGTGTCCTTGGAGCCCTGTGCTCCTTACAAAGGGTTTTCTCTTGTGGAAGGGCACATAATGCAGACTTGTGTTGGTGAGGATTTGATTAACTGTTATACTTCTGGCCAGTGTGAAGCATATAAGCTTTAGCATGACTAAGGTATGGTCTGAATTTCTTACCTCCTTTGCAGCCATCCAAATCTGCAGAGGTGATGTTAATGCCTCTTCTCCTTGGTTACTGCTCCCTTAGATACACAAAAACTGAGAACAGAAAAGGGTTTCAGCAGCAGCATATAATTCTTAAACTGGAAATGCGGCTTTGAGGAATTTGTTCTGAACTAGTGCTGTCAGTGTTAAGCTTCAAGATGAATCTTTTTTAAGTGTGGGTGTTTGTAAAAAACATTGCCTTTTTGTGCTGTAGAGAAGCACCTTACAAGGTAAAACATATTTACTTTGGATTTGACAGTTTTGTTGACAGCAGGACTGGCTTTGGTTTCTCATGCAGCACGTATGAGCACGGTGCCAGTATGTCAGTCATGTGCCAATCAGCCCAGCACGCTTTGCCCTCTTAGAAGGAGGTATTCAGAAGATGGCAAGGCTGCTAAAATCCTTAACTTTGATTATAGATACAGTATTTTCTGGCATTAAGAAGTTGCAGTGCTTTACGCTGAGCTCTTTAAATGACAGAGGCAACTTTGTCATTTTAAACTGATGACCCATAAAGCCTGAAGCAATTTGTTCCTCAAAGCTGAACAAAATTATCCTCATCTCCTATGTCAGTAGTGCAACAAATATACTGACACTCATGACTCAAGAGCAACTTTTTTGCTTGGTCCTCTTCACTGCTATGCTAGCTGTAACAGTACTGTATAAACATAAACCAGTGCAACAGCCTGTTCAAATAAAAATACAGAAATTGTGATTTTTTTTTTTGTTTTGGTTTGTAGATTTTTTTGTTCGTTTTGTTTCTTTGATTTTCCTTTTTTTTTTTTTTTTTTTTTTTTTTTTTTTTTTTTTTTTTTTTTTTTTTTTTTTTTTTTTTTTTTGTTGTTCTCTTAGGTTCTCATATTTTACCATCACCCTTTGTATCAGGAATATCCCTTCCTGTGGCCAGGTAATAAAATGCCAGCACCGTGGGCTAATACAACTAATGTGCACAAACTGCTGCAGTTCCTGGAGACCACACTTGGGGAACGAAGTCGTTATGGGACTTTCCATGTATCTCAGGCAATTCTCACACCTCGAGTCAAAACAATTGCACGGCATCTAGTTCGTGGTCTGAAGAACACACTTGTTCATAGGTAAGGACTTATCTTGATTGTCTTAGTTCTTTAATTAACATGTCTCATGTTGAAAGAGGCACTGAGCAAGAAGGAAACTAGGAAGTGTGTGCGCAGGGTTGCTGAAAGGCTGCAGTTTTGCTCAGTACTGTTGTTTCATGAGAGATATTTGCAATCATTAAAAATAAGGAATTAGTGAAAATAATAAAGCAACAGGGTATATATGTGTTTCCTGGTAATTGGAACTTTTTCTGAATGTGATATGATTTCATAAAATGTAGGATGGATGTGTGGCTTCAAACCAATAATTCATTTCAAACTGGCTGAAGTTGGATTTGTGGGGGGGGGGTGGGAGGGCATGAAAAAAGCTTGTGCCATGGAGAAAAACTGCTGATTTCTGGACTTAGTTTTGCATTTGGCCATACAAATGTCTCAGTAATTTCAGTAAGGACCAGAGATATATGACATAGGGCAGTATTTTACCTTATATTTTAAGGGGGCTGGGGGGAGGTTTTCCAAAAATTAGATTCACCATTTGACTTTTTTTAATGCTGCTGACCATTGTACAATTAATTTTCCTATGAGTAAGGTCACTGTAAGAGGGTTTAGCTTTGATTAGCTCAGAGTGCTGGTGATTTTTAACAGCATGACCAGGGTAGTTCCACATGCCTTATTTTATGGAATTATTACTTTGTAGCCAGTTTGCTAGACATTACCATAACTGTAAAAGTCCTCTTGGATATTAAGAAGAAATCTTTACCGTGAGAGTGGGCGATGCAGTGGTACAGGTTGCTTGGAGAAGTTGTGCGTGCCCCATTCCCAAGGCAGGTCAGGCTCTGAGGAACCTGGTCTAGCGGAAGGTATCCCTGCAAAGGCTGTTGGAACGCGGTGATACTGGAGGTCCTTTCCGGATGCTGCGGGTGGGAAGATCGCGGGGCCGGGATCGATCGCGGCGCTCCCGGGGCCGCGCTCGGCACCAGGTGGCGCTGGGGGCCCGCGAGCGCCGGGCCCGGCGGAATTCCTGGACAAAACCACCCGAGGAAAGCTGCATTTCGTGGAATGGGCGAGCAGCTCTATTTCGGGGCACTCCTGGCACAGATCTGTGCTCTAAGCCACTGTTAGCGAGAAGCCTGCTCACTCCATCCCTTTCCCTCATCCTTCCCACTTGTTTGCAACTAGACCGAAAGTTGCAGATAGGTGTGCTGCTTGATTACTTGTGTGCATTTGCACAAGCTAGCTGATATGCAAATCTCTCCTTGCACTTTTATGTAAATGACTGCCTTCTTGCATGGAAATTTTGCCCTGCTCTTGCTAAAGGAGACTTGCCACAAGTCACACTTAGCTGGCTGAAGTCTGGTGTGTCCCTTGGCAGTAATTATGCCTTCATTCATAGTTCTTGGTAAGTTTTTTTTATTGTCCTGATGCAACAGGAGTGAAGTGTTAAGTTTTTTGGTTTGCTTTTTTGTATTCATCACCCTGTCAGCTATTTTGCTAGCCTACCATCTTCTCAAATAATGTATGCATGTTACAGCACTAATCTAATTAATGCTAACATATATAGCTATTTGTGTCTAATTGCTGAAAAGTGTGGGTTTTTTTGTTAGAGTGCAAGAAAGCTGGTGCAGACTCCAGACTTGCACTCTTGTCCAAGAAGGACTTTATTTCTCCCTATGGTAGAATTTCTAACTCAATTTAACTCAGTTCCTGACACACCTCTCCTTTATCTAGTTATAGTGATGTATAACAGGTTGTTCAACCCTTATGGAGCAGACAGCTTCTCATTCTAGGTTTGCTTTCCCTGACCCCATTGCTCTGAGTGGGTCTGGAGGCTGAAGAGAGTTTGGGAGAAATGCAATGTGCTGCCTCCAACAACTTTTTTCCTGCCCACGCTGAGGCAGAGAAGGGGAAGGGAGCATCTTGGGCCATGTATAACCTTTGTGTCACACTGGTCTGCTGTGAAATTGAGCATTTGACTTAACATGTACTTTGGTAAAAGCAAACTACGGTGGAGAAAATTGTGCAGTGCTAAATCCTGAAGCACAGACTACCCAGTGAATATAGAGGGGTTTTGTATGCCTGCTAGCTGGGATTGATGACTGACCAATATGTCTGTTTGATAGCTAATGACCACGTGCTGTGTTAAGCACTCATAAGCCAGTTGTATCTAGAGTGACAGCCCTGATCACAAATATAATCTTATATATTTTGTAAACAGCGTGTTGTATTTGAAATTAGTAGAGTATGTATAGAAAAGTGCCTCTTTTAAAGTGTTTAATTTTCTTTATTTCAATTTCTTTAGGAACCTGCCCATGATTTTGAATTGGGTGAAAGCACAGAAGCCTGGTGTTATGGGTGTTAACATAATTACATCAGACTTTGTGGAGCTGGTTGATTTTGCTGCTACAGTTATTGCACTGAATGACCTCCTTTTGGAAGAGAACGAATCTGCAACTTAAATCCTGATTGCTGTGTTCCATGTGTGCTCCTTAGTGGACATCTTTCAACTATGCTTAATGTTTTACTTGTCAAGTGAAACCTGTTGTAATCTGTCTTTATGAAAAAAAGTTTCCTTTAGGAAACGTGGTTAAAGATCACGTACAGCCAGGTCCCTTCTCCTGGAGTCTGTGGACCTGAGTGAGCCGAGTGCTGTGTGTGTGCTGCTGTGTCTGTGTGTGCTGTGTTTGGCTGAGCTGTGCACACATCTGCTGCTGACAGGGGCTGGCCTCTGGAGCAGATGAACCCCATTGTGGCACTCATCTCCTTGGTGACCACACTCCCAGCACCCCTGTGTGTGCATCCTGCCCGCTTCCCATGGCCAGGGCTCACTCCAGGGATCACTGCTGATCCCATGGCAGCGTGGCCAGGCTGGCTGGGTGGCATTGTTCTTGGGCCACCTCTGGCATAGCTGGGCTCAGCTGGAGGCTGCTGCTGCTGTTCATTATGCTCTTTTAGACACTACCTCTGACTTACTTGAAGAGACAATGCTGCTGTTGTTCAGGGGGAAGCTGTGTTAAATATCCAAACTGTCCTTTGGGCCTGAGAGATGAAGGCTTAGCACAACTTTTCTTCCTGACCTCTTTATTTTACATTATTACTTCAATAAATTAGTTGCAACTGTGCTTAAGTATATTTTTTGACATTAATTTGGAGAATATTTCAGTCTTCAAATTTTGAGGATTATAACTCAAGTCTGAATTCCTGTTTCCTGTGATATATAGGATTCATTTTCCTGAATTCCTGGGACACTTAGGAAACTACAGCATAACCTTTCTCTTTATCTCTCGGTCACTTGGGTTTTTTTAATCCATCAGATTTTCTTTGGGGAAAGTCTGTCACCCAGTCAGCCCTTCTCTGGAAGGAGGTGGGCCAAGTGGGGTTTGCTTGATATTCAGAGAACTGGAGGTGGCATAGACTGCTCAAAGTCTAAATATTGGATCACTGTGATTTCTAATGGGATGGTGAATTCTGCAGTCAGACCTGAAAACTGTGCTTTTAGATAGATAGAGAGCCACACCTATTAAGAAATTTCTCCAGCCTTCACCTGCTTGTGACAGAGTAAGCAATAATCACACAAGCACAGGGAGGTGTTAGTACTGCTTCTTTCTTTAGTCACACTTATTTTTGTGCTGGTTCACAATGAAATTGTGGCCATGTATGTTTGAGCCAATGCAATCATATGTTGGTACTTATCAGCACTTAATTTACTAGCTGATAGTATCCTGTGGTCTGATTTATTGTTGTTTTTTTAAAAAGCACAAAAGGGACTGATTAGCAGATACTTCTCTGCTCAATCATCTTCCCGAATAAACTATTGGTGCACTAATTATTCCTGATTATGAATTTGTATTTATCTCTAAGCTTATTTATTATAGAATGTATTGTCTTTTACATATTTAATTCAAAGGAAAAATTCATCTCCAGATTTTTTACTTCTTTTGTTGCTTTATTCTGTATCTGCCATCGTGGTTTGACAGCTGTGAAAAATCCCAACCTTATTTGTTTGCTTGTCACAACTCGGGAGAAATGTAAAGGTTTGCAAACCTTCCATGTGAACCTTGGCCAAGTTCAGAGCAGACTGTAATCTGATTTATCTGTTGTTTGCATGGCTTTCATTAGAGTTCCTTGAATTTTTTTAACTGAATCGTTTCTCAGAGGGAGCTGGGGGTGGGGGAAGTGCTTGTCACTCACTGTCTTTCCACTTGTGTCTCAGAGAAAGGGGACAAGTCATAAAAATCAGGGTTTGGCAACTATGTTGAAGTTTCTAGTTTAATACTTCCTTTTAAAACCACAGCAGAAGGTTTTAATTGGGTTTGGTACTGTTTTTTTCTTGTTGATGAAACCATCAGAACCTGTTCTGAACAGTTCTTTTCAGTCTGCAAGTTTATTTAAAATACCTGGGTTTTCCTATTTATTAAATAATGAATAATTCCTATTTATTTAAAATAGCTGAATTTTATGTTTACTTTACTGCTGCTTTACTCATGGCCGCAGCTGAAACTCCATGTGAATTTGGTTTTGTTGGTTTTCTTCTGCAAATTGTCTTGGTGCTCAGAGCTCAGTTGGACTTTAACACCAAGGCTGTATGGGCCATTCGTTTAAGAGCTGGATTCATGACCCTTATGGGTTCCTTCCAACCCAGAATATTCTGTGATTCTGTAATTTAGCTTGAATGCCAGTGAGGCAGAAATAATACTTTTGCAAGGTTCCCATCTAGAACTGGAAGACAAAGCAAGGTGAAGTGAGTATGATGTTTGTATTTGACCCTTAATATATTTTGTGCTGTACCTATACATACATATGCCTCAAAAGAGATTTATTTGGATTAACCAATATTTGTTTTCTGCGTGCACAGTAATTGTTAAAAACAGTGACTGTTATTAGTCCTTCTGCTGTATTTAATTGAATAGAGATGGATGGGCTCAGGGCTGTTTTTGTTTTTTGTTTTTTTAAGTGCAAACTCAGAAGTTCCTCTAACATATTGGCTGTTAGTTCTTGCCTCTTGAAACATGCTGGGTGTTGAGTGCTAGCAGAGTGAAAAGAAATGGAAAATAGATTTAGTATTAATGATTTAAGTATGTGAGGGGGAACATTTCTGTAAGTTTGGCCTGTCAGAAGAGATTTTTGTGTCATTTCAGAGCAGTGCTTGGTGGTGTGCTTCCAGTGTTCCAGAGGAACCTGACTGTTTTAATTGGTGAGTCGGGCAATTGGCAGGTAACATTTGTCTGACATGACGTCTCCCTTGGCTACTCTGGGCAGCATTCATGCTGGTGCTTAGAGCTGGTCCTAGAGTTGTCAGACTCCATCCCAAGCAGTATGAACTACCTTTCATCTATTCTGTTACACAGAGAAAAGCTATCCATATTAATGGGCTTATCTTGCTTACTCAACACCAAAACATATCCAGACTTCCTCATGCTTTGCAAAATTGAGCTCATCTAGGCTTGGACTTTGGGCTGTGGACTCTATTTTCCAGCATTACAAAATTAAAAGGTGTGCTGGGCAGGAAGGGAGGATCAAGGAAGTAGGGCAGTAGTTTGCATCCAGTGCCCACATGGAAGGTGTGGTAGTGCTCAGCCCAGTTCTGAGCCCACTCCAGCAGAGTGGAGCAGGTCTGGCAGGTGAGTGACAGCACTGCAGCTCACACTGAGGCCAAGTCTGACCTCTGAGCAGTCTGCTCCTGAGATCAGCAAATAACAGCCTGCAGGGTCAGGATGTGTGAGCTTGAGGAGAATGGAGATGGGTATGAGCACAGGAGAAGGCAGGGGGTTCTTACTGTTGGTGTAGATGCACATCTGGTGAATACAGTGGTTTTAGTCTTGCTTGTATATCCCCAAAGCAGTAGAGTTCACTTTTAAACAGACTGGGAAGAAAACCTCCCTAGAAGAATTGTTCTGACCTCTTGACCATTTGGAAGGTGCTGGGAGAGGAGAAGCCAGAAAACAAGCAGCTGTTTGAGGCAAAGTACTTAAACTGTGTATTCTTGAATAAGTACACATATGGTTTGTTATTAAAGACTCAGGTTAGTCATACACTGTTTTATGACTGTTATTTCTCTTCCTGGTGTGCAGTGTCTGAATGCCAAGCACACTGGTGGCATTCCTCTTCTCACACTGGTGGCTGCCATGTGCAATTTAAGGGCACATTTGAGGCACAGGAGACCTCTGTGTATCCATGATGGGAAGTAGCCAATGCTTTTTATGGAGCATCTATGAGTTTTTAGCCTCTTACCATGTCCTATAGGTGAAAACAAAAAGGATTTTTCAGACTGACAGTCTGTTGGCTTTTACTTGGGGACAACTGTCATAATGTATTGAACTGCCCAGGGAAATGGTGGAGTCACCATCTCTGGAAGTGTTCAGCACTGTGTGGATATGGCACTTGAGGATATACTGTAGTAATGAAAAGAGCAGTGATGGACTTGATGGTCTTGGAGGTCTTGTCCAAGCTTAACAATTCTGTGATTCAGAGTAGAAATGCTGACTGCTCATATTCTGTTTAAAAGCCTCTTTGGAGGAAAGAATAATAGGGAAATGGTGACTTTGCTCCTAACACATGCTGGGTTTTGCTGTTGTTGCTACTGAATGTTGGAGTTTAAAAGCACTGTGAGGTTTAAAAGAACTGTGAGGTTGAATAACACTTTTGAGCAGGGATTTTGGCTCAAACAGGAGTAGAGATTCTCTCAACGTGCTCATCTGTTCTCATCTGACTAAGCCTTTGGAAATAATTTCTTTGTGTACCTGTCTCAGGAGTCAGAGATCACTGATGCATCATTTAGCAGACCAAGATTTAGGGCTTAGATAGAGATAGAAGGCATTGATATTTTGATTTAGAATTGGGTTGCCTATGGAAGTCTTACTGAGCATGTGTGATTTGAGGTTTACTTGAATATGCAGTATTTAATATGACATCCATATGCTGTTTTTGTAAGACTTTCATCTTGACTTGAACACATAGTTACCAAACCCTAATAAGCAAATATTTTGATCAGAGAACCACTGTTTGGGACAAAACTTGAGGCAAATTTTCAGTGCTTGTTAAAGCACAGAGAAATTGTCTAATGTGGGGAACAGAACTTATTCAAAAAATTGTTTGAAGTATAGATCAGGTTTAAATGAAATCCTTTTGGCAATGAAAAGTAAGATTTTTTTTTTTCCCTTCTTTGACAAATTCTTATTCCAGCTTTGGTTTTAGCTCAACAGATGGGTAGAAGAGCCAGAGCATATGGTAAAAAGTAAATCAATTTTATGCTGGGGACATTGTATGTAGGACTAACTGTGGTAAGAGTATGACGATTTACTTAATGACACCTTTAATGGTAATCCTATCAGCTCTTTGGTTTAGGTTGTTAAATCAGTCTCTATTTTGCATTTAAAATATCAGTCCCACTAATTCAATACATCTGTTTTGTTGAAGTGTGTTTACTTCTCTATGCATATTTATTTCTCTAAAAGTCTTACCAAGTAAACTGTTAATTGTAGGGACTGGAATAGGACTGTCAACTTTAGAACTGTATGCTGAATCTGCTTACATTTTGTATCCCTGAATATTTATGCATTGTGTGTTGTCCATTTAAATAGTACTTCTTACCCTTTGTTAGACTTGTCATACCATTTACATTGAACTGTAGTGTATTCTTAATTTTGAAAGAAATGTTGATCAGCACATCCTATATAAATATAATTTAGAAGATTCTTTGATTTTTATTAATGTCAAATGTATTTTCCAGATGGATTTTTTTATTATTTATACTGTGGAAGGGTGCAGAGGGGGCCAGGTGAAGAAGAGTTACCAATTCTCAGTATTTATTTTGTGCAGTTTGTCTTCTTTTGGCAGTTTGTGCTTTACCCACCTGTGTGATTAAGTTTTGTGAAACCAGGATACCTCATCTGAACTGCAGATAAATTTAAGGTTTACATCTGTTTCTTTATATCATGGGGGGGTTTAATCCTGAAAATAAAAAGTACAACTTGAGCTAATCATCTTTGCTGTGTGTTCTGTGCTGCTGACATGATGATTATGTAGTGAGTCAGCTAACATCAGTTGAGCTGAGGAGCTTCTCTGATGCAGAAGGGAGTCATGGAAGGTTGATTTGGGATATTTTTTTTTTTAAGTGCTACATCTTGCTG